TGATTCTGTTTAAAATGTTAACGATTTATTCATGTAATTTTCTACATCGAATTTGCACAGTGAACTTGCCTTGGTAATTTAATTTATACCTCATCTAAATATTAAGGTGTTTTTATTTAAATGTAGTGATTGAATAAAACTGTCTTGGTTACTTACTAAACTGAGGGTATAAAATGATTAGTACCTTTAAAATATATATATATATTTGTCGCTATGTGACAATATCCCAATGAGTGACACCGAAAAAGATGACAAATACTCAAAACACCTTCTGTGGGTTTCCCCTTTATCCCCACATAAAAATAGAAATATAGGTGGAGTATATATACAATAATTCTTCCAGTGATAGATACAATAAAATTATCCTTGTAGGAATTTTCTCTAAAATATAAACATAAATAAAGAGAAATAGTGCAATATAGTCAATTCACAATTAGTAGTGCAATATGTATGGAAGGTAAAGCACTCACAAACACGGAGCCAATGTAAAGGCTCAAGGATGTAGCTCTGTGGGTACTAAAGGGATCCACTTCCTTCTTGCTACTGCCTGTAGTATCCAAATATAGGATGTCCTCTCAGGATGTAGTGAAAATAAAGTGCTTTATTTGAAAGTGCACAAAAGTAATAGAAAATACATTAAAATAAATAAAAAACCTTATATAAGGTGCAAAACGCCTTTCGCTTCGTTTGGAGGCTTCCTCAGTTGCACGCTTCCAGTTTCGGCCTATGCGTTCCATCTGTGGAACGCAAGCGTCACGTGACGCACGAGCGTCACGTGTCCTACTCCTGAGCGTTTATATGTGACTCCAAAGCTCCGGTCCTCTAGAATATGGTCTCTCCCCAGAGCAAAGTGATACATATCACAGTCTATCAAAAAATAAATATGTTCCTTATGCTCCATGTAGTATGTTATTCCTTTTTCCTCTTGATAGATACACAAGGTATTCAGTCTCTTATACCAAATATGTAAATATATAAAAAACAAATAGCATCGCTTTATTCTCACTACAGGCAGTAGCAAGAAGGAAGTGGGTCCCTTTAGTACCCACAGAGCTACATCCTTGAGCCTTTACATTGGCTCCGTGTTTGTGAGTGCTTTGTGTTCGGTGCTATTCTTATACCGTTACGTATGTATCGTATGGAGTAACCATAGGTATGAACAAGTCAGTTGAAGTGTGCCGAAACCAACGTATGCGGTAGGCCTGTAAAAAAGAAGGCCCACCCTAGATATAACATAATAAATTAAATTGAGTTGAGGGAGTGGTGGGTGGGGCCTGCCGAAGTCAAAACTACACGGTGATGTAGAGAAAGGGGGGTGAGTTTAAATAGGATCAACACGCCCCTCCCACAACTCCAAGCAAGCCTTTACATATATGGCTCCTAAAAAAGACAGTGAGTGGTAGCCCCTTTTTCTATTTTCTACAGTCAACACCCCTCAGTTACTAAGCAACAAACAATGAGCTACTAGTTTGTATCACAGAAAAGGGACATTCTAAGCAGGATTATCACAACAGCCTGTTTAAGATAAAATAGCTATTTTCTATTTTTATTTTAGGTGGCAAGGTTATCTTAAATTATGAGAATCTAGATTGCAAAATTTAAAAACAAATGTTACGCACTGCAGCTTTTACTGCTCTTTTTCAGGTTTCAGAACATCATGTTGCATATGGGTACAGGGGTGTGGAAGTTTATCGAATCTACTTGTCCTGACACAAAGCCTGGCGTGCTGGCTTTGTGTTGTTTGTGTGTTGGCTGTATATAATGTGTGTTTTGTCTATATATGGTTGAGATTGTGAAACACTTTCTGATACAAACACACATACACAGAAAAACTCTTCCACTCAGTAGAGCGGTCCCTGGTGCAAGAATTTTTTTTTGGGCCACTCTCTCACAAGGTAGATCTCCTGTCTATTGCACAACTCCTGAAATGATTTGCCAGCTGGGGATCTCTTATTTGCCAATCCTTGCAGGGTTCTATTTAATATTGAGAAATATGTTTGAATGTAAGCATTTGTTTTGTATGGAGTATATATCTGTTTGCAGTGTTGTGTTGAGTGCTTTTATGTACTGTTGCCATTTGAAAGCAGTGGTTTACCTCTGTGTAGTGTTTGCCTTTGAATGTAGGGGTGTGTTTGTGTGCAGTGTTGATGTTTGAATGTTGAGATGTATGCACATACATATATACTGTCACTCAAACAGACAAACATGCAGATACAGTCATACTCCATGACGCATGCAGATACGTAGACACAGATCCACACAATGACACAAATTCTGGCACAAATACACTAACACAGATACACAGGGGCACACATTGACATACATACACACAGATAAAGAGATACGGACACAAATGCAGACACACACACATAAATACACACACAGACAGGCAAGATGTATATATTTTAAGCCACCCTCCTGTTTCCTACCTTTTTTAGTGCAGGAGGGTTGCTTCCCTGGGGTCCAGATGGCTGGCTCAGGCTGTTGGGAGTAAGATGATCTCCCACTTCGCTCCTCGGCAACCCTCCCTTGCAACACAGTGTTAGCTGGAAGTGACAGGCCATCACCTCCTCCAATGCTTCCCTAGATTAGATGTGTACAAACTACACATTCTCTGACACACACACATCACAGTCCCATTAAGTATTTCAAATTAATCTGAAACTGCTTGGATGTTATGTCGCTCTCTGCCATGCACACTTTGCACAGTGTGTCAGCTACTGGGATATGACATCATGCTCTAGGCTGGAAAAAAGAGGAATGTAAGGGCACAACCAGAACATGCTTTTCTCAGCAGTGGTGCTGCCATACGTATGTCATACTGTATCCTGGCGGCTTTCATGCCTGTGCATGGCAAGGAGCAGCTGGATGCAGACGCACCTCACACCTCCCTGTATGCCACCAGTAAGTAGCAGAAGGCTTTGCGCCTGCCTGGGAGATGCTCCCTGTGTGGCAACACACCCCCATTCCAAAGGCCGCCATACCACTTGCCCATGGCAGGGCTGAAAGAATAAAAGACACCTTCTGTTCGATTCGTTTTATATACGAGATCTGGGCTTCATATTTATCAATGGTGGATATTTAAACTACTAGTATCTAGTGTGTGTGTGTTATCTAGGTATTATATTACTAATGGCATAAAAGCCTGACATCGTAATGTATGTGGGTATGAGCACTAGACATCATTGTTTTGTTTCCTCTTGCAGCTACATACCATGCTCAGAAAGAATACATGTTGCAGTGACTGAAATGGCAGCCCTGTTTCCAAAGGTAAGAGTGATCAGTTGTGCTGTTTTTTTTAAACTTGCAACATGATTTTACAAATAATTTGGAAGTTGAAGTCAGAATTTTGTTGATCTGTGCTTCTAGTGTTAGTGCGCTGGTTCGCCAAGGGAAACTATACATTATATTTATCTTTTATTTCGGGATGAGAAGGTCCCTACCGTTTTAGTGACTTCTTTCTAAAAGCGTAACGCTAATAACCTTTTACTTTTTTTCCAGTCATTGCTGCAGCCAGATTAGCCTCTTTTCTTGTTATCAAGATTGATGACTTCTTGCTGACTTTATGTACAATCAAATGCTTCTCTTAGAGAAGCATTGTGGACAAAAAGCCTATGTGCAGAAAGAGTCCTCTTCAGCCAATAAAATACTGCCGGCATTGTGAGCACATCAATTGTAAAGAACAGAGTCTGACTTGGTTGTGGGTGTGGAAGTACCATCTAGTGGATGTCAGAGCCATTGGAGGTGTAGTTAGCCCCACAATGTAAACTTTCCTCTTCTCCAAATTGGCTACAATTTACATTGTGGGGAATGAGACTGCAGAATCACAGTACAGAGGCCACTTCATTAAGATGCTTATAGTGGTCCTTTATTACACCTGTTGAATTCACAAATGATGAATGTCTACCAATGTGGGGCACACAACCAGTCTACATGCATCCATTTGGATAACACTGCTTCTTGTAGTACTTAAAGTGAACTTTATACATTAAGAAATGTCCTGAAATCAGGGCTGCCATAAGAAACTTTGGTTCCCAGTATATATTTAATGACTGCACTACAATCATTGATTTTTATTTTATTTTTTATGTCTAAACATTTGAATAGCCCAGTATTCTAGTACTTTTTTCAGTAAAAGATGGTTATACCAACTAAAACTTCCAAGCCATTTTAGACTAGCATTTCTAGAGTACTATATTGTGAATAACATTACACACTTGTACTAAATTGTTGTCTGATTGTATTCATTGGACATTACTGTGTTGTTTGTTGAGGGGCTTTGTGTGGTTGTAGTTCACTCACTCGATCAGCAGCCACCTCAGTCTTGGTGGCTGGTGCCCAGGCTTTCAGGATTAAGAGCCTTACTATGCAGCCAATAGGCCCAGAACGGGCTACTCTCCTAATTCGGATGTACATTACTCTTTGCTCCTAATTTACGATAACCAACATTGTGTCCGCCTGGATGATTGCCACATAGACTAACTAGTATTGTTCCAGAGCATATTGCAGGTTACTGCAGAGTCTATTAGAAAGCAAGAATCAATCTGCTCTTTGTGTGACTAGCTTAAAATATTAAGGAAGAAACATGGCTAAATGTTTGTTTGTGGTGCTCTATTTAGTTTGGAACTTTTCTGCTGAGTACAGATTTAGTTACTTTGCTTATTATCTTCCCAGAAACCCAAGTCTGATATGGTGAGAACGTCGCTCCGGCTGCTTACGTCTAGTGCTTATAGACTCCAAACAGAATGCAAAAAGACATTGCTCATTGAATCCAGTCCCACTACAGACATCCAACTGGTGACGCAGCAAGTTATTCAGTGTGCCTACGACATAGCCAAGGCTGCAAAACAACTGGTCACCATCACAACCAAAGAGAATACAAATTGAGTGACAGTATACTCTTACTGTTTTATCCAACAGAGAGGCAATTAAAATCATGTCCTTTTTTTATATATATATATATATATATATATATATATATTGTTTTTTTATTGTAAAGTGTCAGGGTTCATTTAAAAAGAAAAATGAAAAAAACAGTATTATTTTTTTTTGCATGTTTCTTCTAAATGTGTTTTATTCTGGACAATTTAACCCACTGCCTTATATATATAAACTTGTTTTTTACTGCCAGTTATGGGGGGGGGGGGGTGACATACAATAGTTACAAGCAATTGTGTACAATCTGCTTCCTGTATTCCTGTATTGTCCTTGAAAACAATGACATAAACTTATATTTATACAATTTGTTTTTTTGCGCATTTTGGTGCCATTTCGTTGCTTTATGTAAGTGGTTTTGAACTCTGTTTTGCACTTCCAATCAGATATTTCAGCAGGTACTGCATAGTATTAATCCCACTTTAAGTGTCAGTGTTTTATCTCTACCTCTAACAATTCTGAAAACATTTGTCTTTATTTAAGACCTAGAGAGTGGTCACTTAATGCCTGAAGATTGACCATCACGTGATTATTTACCTGGAAAACTGAGTAATTGTGGACAATGTGTGTGTACTGTGATACTAGTTTCTTATATTTATATTGTGTGAATAACTGTGCCACAACTTGTTGTCCTCGTTCCTGGCCAGAAACAATGTTATACAGTTTTGCGGTATTATTAAAATATTTAACCAGGTGTTTTTATGACCGAATTTATGCTGTAGATTTCCGAGAGAATTTGTGAACATGTTCTAACCTGGCAGTTCAAGAGTTCACAGTGTACCGCTTTTCCTATCATATATTTGCATTCATGATTATTTTCTCTCTTACAACTTGAATAATGCAATAAACTGAAAGTTGACTGCAGGTGCTTCCTGTGGTCCATTGGGCATTAGCTCATTCTAGAAAAAGCACGAACGCTGAAGCATAGGCAGATGGAGAGAAGCACCTGTACCTTAACGTTTCAGTTTCCTTTTTAGAATTCTAATATGGGACCTAATTATAGTTGCAGACCATTGAAGAAAATAAGGGGGAGAAGTGTTGGAAAACATAATTTACAGGGCTATTACCAAGAGTGAGAATTCTAAGAGAAATTCAAATTTAAGGTCAGAGTAGCTGAATGGAAAGCATAGCCAACTTAGAGAATGTTTCCAGTTCGGCTATTTTGACCTTAAAGTTTAACACCACTTTAAATACTTTAAACGTTGGTGAATAACTCTTAGTTTTTGTCCATACACAATTTGACGAGGGATAATATAAAAGTGTCAAGTTTTTAGCGGTAATTGGATGATTCCTGTATACCAGTAAGTATATATTACCACACTGTAATATATAGGTGATGGTATATATGACAAGAAGCTAGTTGTTGCATGGTTTGAAATGCTATAAATGACATGCTACATCACTTTGCTTACGGCAGTGTTAGTCACACTTGTTCTTAGAACCCATCCAATAGACAAGAATGTAATGATTTCTCACTCTGCCTTGGCACAAATAGTGACGAAGAGAAGCTTGTGCCCAGCTACAGATATAAAGTCTTGATATGTTTGTGAATACAGAGGATGCAGTGTAAGAAAACGTACCTAAAAACAGGACTTTATTTTTATTATTTTATTTAAATCAAGTAATTATTTTGAGTGTCCGCATATTATTTAAAGTTACAATATAGCTTATGTCAAAACATCTGCCATTACCTGCAGAATTCTATTAAAAATTCGATTTGGTTATAGCGGCAATAAGGCATGATATAATTTTTTTTTTAAACTGCATTGTTAGAAACCATGGTATAATTAGAGACAGTTCTTGTGTCCATTAACCAATAATCAGAAACACTCTCCTATTATATGACTGTCGGTGTCCCACTAGACGCTAGCTAATACACACACAAATTACATAAGTGCAGCACACAAATGGCATATTATAAAAGGGAAATCCTCATTTAACATTAAGCATCCCAATAAGTAATGCATAAAACAAAATGAAAAATCTTTACTAATGCGGCAATTACATCCAAATGTACGTAAAGACTTGCATCAATTTGCAAGCCCAATTTATTATTGGAGAGGTATAATGCTATACAGGAATGTGATGGATGTATACAGAAATCTTTGATTGTACGTGGTTGTCTCTTGTGTAAAAGGACTGTAAAGACTGGGGTATATTATGTTGCAGTACTTTGATTCTGCGTTGTTCATTATTTACTAAGCTATGTGACTTTTAAATATTGCCCCTTTTATAAGTTATGTGCAGAAACTATAATTAGTTTAATCTATGTCGGTCTATCCTGCTGTACAAAATTTAGTTCGATTTTGTGATTTATTAATCTACATGGAGCTGCCATATATGTGCTGCTCTGGGAATGAGTATTAATATTTATAGATCTTCAGCGATAGAAATTAGATTCTTCCTAAACTGGTAGTGCCAACACATCAGCAAGATTTAAAGGGACACTATAGTCACCTGAACAACTACAGCTTAATGTAGTTGTTCAGGTATGATCTATAGCTCCCTGCAGGCAATCTAATGTAAACACTGTATTTTCAGAGAAAATACAGTGTTTACTTGATTGATAAGAATACCTCCAGTGGCCGTCACTCAGACGGCCACCAGAGGGACTTCCTATCATGTAGGGCCCTAAAAAGGCCTTTTACACGTCAGACGTAATAAAATATGTCTGACGTGTGCAGGAGAGAGAAGGCACTGTGTGCGCGCCTTCTCTCTCCTGCCTGTCAGCAGAGGAGAGGGGGTGGGCAAAGACCGCGAGCTGAGCTGTCAGCTCGCGGCCGCGTGCATGCGCGGTAGTGTGTTCAGGACTTCAGAGGGCGGCATGAATGCTGCCCTCTGAAGTATGTGTGGCGAAGCCGCGCATGCGCACAAGGGAGCAATGACTCTTCCAAATGGAAGCGTCTGATTGCTGCCTGCTCGTGCCCGCCTATTTAGTCATTTTGACGAAATAGGGGGCGCGGCTTCACAAGGCTCCCGGCGCTGGAACCAGGTGAGTAAAATCCTCTGCCTGGAGAGTCCCTTTAAGGCAAAAAAAGAACTGAAACTTTTTTCCAATTCTGTTTTTGCCTAATTTTGTTACCACTCACACCTTGGACTGTAGCATATAAACATCTGGATTCATTGGCATAGATCAGGCACAGGCAACCTTTGGCACTCTAGATGTTTTGGACTACACCTCCCATGATGCTTTGCCAGCATTATGGGGGATGTAGTCCACAACATCTGGAGTGCCGAAGGTTGCCTATCCCTGGCATAGATAAACCATTGTTCACCTCTTACACGTTTAAAAAAAAAAACAGGCATGTATGATGGTGTTCAGTATTCACATGGTTCAGTAGTTAGTTACTTAATGGAATTAATTTAGCACCATTGGCACTAATTATAGCTGGATTATATTACATTTACCATTTTTTGGCAAATCTGTGATGGATTTCTGTACCCAAAGCAATAATAATACGTGTGTTCACATAAATTATAAAAAAAAAAAAAAAAAACTGCTGCTTTCCTCTCAATTATTCAGTAGGGCAGTGTTGCCCTCCTCATGTCTAAATTTTCCAAACAAATTCAGGAGATGGAATTGATTTCCTACCAGTACCACTGGCACATCAATTACCTTAAAGGGACATTACAGGAACACACAACACTTCAGCTAATTGAAGTAGTCTGGGAGCAGTGTCCAAGGTCACCTAACTCAGCAATTGGTCATTTTTGTAGTTATTGATAAACTGCAATACTTGCCTTGGAGGGTTAGCTCCACCTCTAGTTGAAGTCTACCAGACAGCCACTAGTGGGACTTCCAGGTGGTTAGGAGACTTTTGGTCGCCTAATTGATGCATGTGGACATCCAGTGTCACCCAAAACCCAAGTCCTAATGCGAGCACAGCACTTGCAGCTAATTTGCATTGGTCTCCTCTTTGACTGATGAGCGGTGGTGGATTTTTTTAACCCCTTATTCACCACGGGGAGGGAGCACTATAGGGAACTATAGTGCCAGGAAACCAACTTTATTTTCCTAGCACTATAATTTCCCTTTGAGCATTTGTTAAATTGATCCCTCCTTCAAAGAGTTAAAGGTGTATTGAAAAAAAAACAGTTGGGCTTGCTTGGTTTCAGATAGGCTGGCTAATTGCAGGACTTTATTGATTGAAATGTTATCCAATTAAAGGGACAGCAAAGAAAATGTAGCTTTTAAATGCTTAACAAATGTGTCATACTACCAATTCAACCAGGACTACACCTTTATACATATTTTCACTTTGTGTTAGTCATTGGGACAAGCTGTACAGAAATGTTACTTTTTATTCAAAATAAGGAACTTGTACAGGCCTCGGCTAGATAAACAACCCATTCAGTATATCTTACCAAGGTCTCAGAGTCAATGTTTTTGAATACACACAGTCTAGAGTTTGTTTTAATATATTGAAATTGACATTTTTGTTTTTCTAGTGTAATAGACTGATTAGAAATCAACATTTACCAAGTAATTGCAGTTATTTGAAATGAAACCTTCACATTGCCATCAATATGAACCTAGTGAATATAGTTTCTGATGCGCCAGTTGTTTCACATTACAAAGTGCTTAATGTTTTAATTTAAGTAAGAGGGCAGGACGGATACGTGTAAAGACAGGGAAAACTACAACACCCCAACAATAATGTACAATCAGTCCCATACCAGCAGCTATGCAAAAGATAAACAGAATAGCCAACTATGATACTGCACCTGTATTTTCTTTTTAATATTTATCATTTTTTGGTTGGTACCAGGCTAGTCTAGGTTTCAGGTATTGGGTGCAGCAAATGTTACGCTGGACTATCTTTAAGCCATTTGGTTAGATATCTAATGGATTGTTTTATTTATTATTTTTAATAACCTAGTTTAAGTGAGTTTTTTGTTTTTTTTCTCTTTTCACACCAATAGTGTCTAATATTGTTGTCTGGATGTCTAGATTTGATTAATGAAGCAGGTGGAGTTGAAGGGTATAATTTCCAACGTACCAGTATTTAATTAGAGACATCAAAGCAATCGATGTTTAGATCTTGGCAGCTTTCTAGGATTTAACTTGCTGACATAGCTCTGTCACCTATACTATTTAAATCAAGCCTCTGCTGGGCAGTCAGGTCATGATCATATTTAGGTATCTTCCCGCCCCCCTAAAAATTTGATAAATGACTTCATGACTAAAATAGGCTATCCTCAATGGCTTGTTACATAATCCCATAGAAGCATGGTACTTCACAAACGTGATTACTATACATTTGAGTCATTGGGTAATTTATCAAAGTGTCATGGTCTTAAAACCTACCGGTAATCACCATGCAAACCAGTAGAAACAGGAGGTACATTTATATTTGTGATTTCCACTTTTCAGATAACTGTTTGACAGATTTGTTCCACCAGATATTGAAACCAGTATATGTAATATGTCTTGGCTTGCACCAATGGAAGTTATTGGAGCAGTATAATATCAGTATTCTTAGCACTTTTGTTTTTTTATGAACTCAAATGCACATAGATTAATGGTTCTTTCAGTGGCAATCAGGTTTTTAATTATAACCACTTGTGTTTTTAAACATGACCTCTAGTGCCAAGTAAGTATTGTACTACTTTCTCAATATGTGGCATGTATTTGCTTGAAAAACAATAACTGCCACCAAATGCATAAAGTATAATCTTTTATGTAAAATATTAGCAGCCCATGAATTCCAGAAAATGTATTTTCATTATATAAAATGTCCAATACTTTTTACTGCCAATTTACAACAGTAATTTTTAATCAGAAATATGAAATGCCTTTCAAACTTGTATTTATGTGTTATTATTAAACCATACCTTTGGAATATTGTATACACTGTTTATTAATGTACACTTATGTATACTTTAATTGTGAATTTTATGTTACTTTTTTTTTCTTTTCAACTTCTAGTTGTGCAATAAACTTTTTTTTAAAAGCAATCTGGTATTTTACATTATTGGGATTCTTTAATATTTTTTTATTTGTATTCTATTATCTTCTAGAGACCTAATAGACACCTTCAAAATTCATGCATATTACGCAAAGTAAAAATCGCCTATAATACTACTACAGTATCTCCTGCTCTGTTAATATTCTTATAGTGCCAACAGGAGCCTCTTGTGTATAATTAAAGTTCAGTTTACAGAGCAGTTGATATAAACTTTTAAAATCTGATTGAAAATTAAACTCTTGTTTTTTTCCAGGCTGTGCCAGGGTAGGTGTGACTAGGACTGCCTAAACAGAAACAAAAGTGATTTAATGCCTAAATAGCTGACAATTGAGCAATGAGACTGCAGGGCCATGATCTATATACCAAAACTGCTTCACTGAGAGTTCTTTTGATGCCTTTAGTATCCCTTTAATATGAAAGTTCAAGGAGTTAAGATAAAGGCAACCTCAGTTACCAGAAACTTTAACAACATTGTCTGTGTCCATCTTCAGGTTTAAATAAAATTAATCTGGCTGATAAAGAGTAAGTAATGTCCAGCAAATTACACCACCGAGTAACATTATAAAATCGCCTGTAATTTGACCATGTGATGCGCAGTTTTCTTCTAAACTTCACAATATAGTTCAGTCCAGGCACAGCCAAGGCTCACACAGCTAAGGAGACGAGAAAGTTCTGAAAAGTGACTGTTAAACACTATCAAAATAATGATGCAATTTATTAAATTCTAAAAAAAATAAAAAAAAAAATATGGCTTTCGCTGTAGTAAATCTGACAGTTTTTGAAAAAAAAACATCCATTTTAAAAGATCACCAGATAACTACTGGAAAAAGGTTGAAGTGAAACAGAACAGGAGGGAAGATTATATAAATCTACTTTGCCACAAAAATTGAGTATAAATCAGAAATGATGGTTAAGAAGCAACAGAATAAACATTGTCAGATTAAATTGTGCCAAGTATCCAAAAATTACATGTAACTGTGTTGGCGATGATTTGATAATTCTCCCCCATTGTTTCTCAACTACCACATACTATGTTCAAAGACAGAAAATGGCAGAGTTGATAAAAATGAATATGGACCCAATATTGAGGCACTTTGTTCCACACAGAGATGTATCAATTTTTACATTTAATTTGATGTCAGATTTTAAAAAAACATACTTAAAAAAAAAAAAAAAAAAAATAATACAAATCCCAGGAAGTGACAGTTTCCATTGAAAGAATAGTTTATACAGTTGAAATGATTAGATTCTGAATAGTGGATGCTGAAATCCATGATGTCAGCAAATACCAGACATTAAACTGTGCCTGATGTCTGTATAATTACAGCTAAATGAATTGAAAATCACACAAGTAAAAACTATTTACATCAAAACTACAAGTTGTTCACCTTGAAGTAGGTTTATTTTCCAGAAGCGACTTTTTCTTTATGAAAGCCAACATCACATCCAAACATTTCTTGGACGACTAAATACCTGCAGCACATAATAGAAGAGGTGGGTAAATTTCAGATAAAAAAAAACAAAAAACAGGCAATGTTTCAGAACATTTAATATCCAACTCTAAAGAAAACAAGAAATCCCAAAGAGCTCTGATTTTGGTTTTGAAGTATGTTATCCCTATAACAATTAAGCAGAGGGACGTTTGTGAATATTATTTGGACTTCTTTGATTTGTGGAACTGCAGTAGAATGAGATTTCCTTACAGTAAGAGCCAAGTTCTAGACCTTAAGGTGTGAATAATTTTTATAAAAACATTATTGTAAACAAACTAAGCACCCATAATGATGGTCTACACATCTTTTGCAACCTCGGCCTCTGGCTTTTGAGGGGGAACTAGAGAGAGTTGTCCCCGCTGCTGTGGGGCCAAGCTGTACAGATCTCCGGCAGACTGGTAGCTATTAGGTCCTAAATGTGTGGCTGGCGTCCGGAGAGACATGCAGAGGCTTCCAGTTCGCTCCCCTGGAGCTTTGGTGGAACAGTGGTGGTGCAGGAGGTGGTTTGTCTGCAGACTTTATCAGGGGGAGGGAGGGATCACGTGGACTGGGAGGGCCTTCATGTGCCCACTGTGCTTTGAAAATTTCTGTAGGGGGCATGGTCTGGCTTGGGGGATGAGGGTGATTTCCTGAGCCCTGGAGGACATACCTTCCAAACTTTACACTAAATCCAATGTAAGCGACAAATGAAATAGCGCTAAAGTGTATTTAAATATTCTGTTGTAAGAACATTGTGAATATATATAATGCAACAGATTTAAATGCACATTTACCACTAGCACTATTTATCTTCCAGATTGAAATTAGAGTAGGACTCACCGATATTGTCTGTTCCTTAATCTGTATATTGTATACATTCTAGTCTCTACAGCAGTACCAGTGCTGAGAAATGCATATTCCGGGTGTGCCCCCATATCCCGTTTTTTTTTTTCCCGGACACATTTTTGTCCGTTCAGGCACTTGTACAGGTCTTTCCACAATCTCTCTTTTCCTTACGTTCCTCTTTTCCGTTTTCTCAGGGACGGGGTTGTGTTTTTTTAATATATGCAACTCAAACTATTTCACCTTTTAGGAGGCTTAGCTTTCCTTGGCACGTATGCAGAGCTGGGCATAATGGCTAGTGACTATACACTATATGATTCTGAGGATTCCGTACACGGCATTGCTTTTAGTATATATTCTGCTACTAGACATACTATTATAGCAAAGGCCAATTTATTAGCCAACCTAAGTTGGGGCTCCTTATGTATTTACTTCTTGTGCCCTAACCCCCTTTTTCTCCCTGCTTCTATGTTACTTTGCCTTAGTGTTTCCACATTACGGGGAAATGCACATCACTCTTTCTCCTAGGGGGTCTACATGTTTTAGTGTTATTTTCGTGAGGAGTGCTCTGCATCCTGCTAAACTGTATTTTCATGTATGTATGAATCTGCTGTAATAAAGCTTTGAATGACAAACAAATAAAAGTGGTAAGCCATTATAATATGATTTGGGGCCAGACGTACAGAGGTGTATATTTCTTTGGACACTTACCTTATCATGATACCCTCTCTGGGTCATGATCTCAGCTTCATGGTGCAGTAAGTCAGTCTCTAGATCATCTGCTAATTTATTCTCTTTTTCCTCCTCCTCCAGTTGCAACTTCACTTCTTTCTCCTGTAAGTGCCGCTCAGAAATCTAAAATTCAGGTAAAAGCAGTTGATTTGGTCATTCAGAAGAAACTGCAGATAATGTTCTTAAAAGGAAATTCCAAGCACCATATTCACAACAGTTTAATGTAGTGCTCCTCCGGCTACAAACCTATTTGTTGAGTCCATGCGGTTTATGTCAAATGGTTTTCAAAGAAGTGTGTGCTCAAGTGGAAGTATACATTATATGACAATGCATTTTGTGCGTGCCCTAGCTTGCAATCAATCACATAGTGTAATCCATTTTATGTCGCTCTTACTAAATATAAATCTATCCTGTTCAGTGTCTCCCTTCATGATAAAATCCACGTTCAGTTTGTCAAATTTTATTTGCCATGAGATCTGTCAATGATGTACTCTCGTATGACTAAAAAACAAGGGTGTGGAAATGCACTCAATCCCCATATAATATGTATCTGGGTGCAGCCAGGCCAGTGCCAGTCCCAGGAATCAAATACTTGATAAGGTATTGATAAGGATTGTCAGCTTGACAAAGACCGTTCAGGTCGAAACGTTGTGAGTGGCAGTGGGTTCAATAAATTTGCCTTTTTGCACCCTGGAATGACTGGATTGTTTTCTATTTTCTACCTTAACGATGTACTCTTGGGCATACAACACGGAGGTCTACACCACAAGACCAATAGCATTTCACACAGTGGAAATTAACACATTTGACAGTAGATGCCTTTTGTCAAGTTTTGTGAAATTTGACACTGCCCATACACAAAGTAGTCTCTACCACTTATGATGATATGTGCGGAGAATTTTTATTAAGACATTATCTTCATGAAATTAAGGAGTAATAGAATTGTGACAGAGCTGCTTTACAAGTCAATTACTAAATTAATATGAACTTCTATTAAATCTAATTCACTATGCTATTTCAACTAATAAATCAGAGTTGTGGAATGTGAGACTGAATGCCTGGGTTATTTCACAGTATTACAACGTGTAATTTAGAAATTTACAATGTACATTCCTTTAAACAGAGTAGGTCCCTGCAGAGGAAGTGACGGTATATTTATAGATTTTTAAGCAATTTTATTTTTCTATAAGGAACCAGATGCCATGAGTAAGCAAGGCAATTAAGTTAAATCCAGTGTGAGAGAGCAGTTCAGTGTAAAGGTAAATTGTACCTGTGACTCCAGCTCTAATTTACGTGCAGTTTTCTGGGCCTCTTCTTCTCGCTTTTCCCTGGATGTCAGCTGCTTGACATCTTCGAGCTCTCTGAGTAGCTGCTCACGGGATTTCAGTGATTCCATCTGAGCAAGTTTGTTCTGTTCTATGCGCTCCTGAATCTGCAACTGCCTTCCCATCAGCACCTAGTCACAAAATAAATGAATAAATCAGTGATGGTTGAACTTTGGCACAACATTGTAATTGATACAGTGCATATAAATGAGTATTTAGCAGGTCATTATTTATCCTTATGAGTAAGCACTGTGAAGGCATGGCTTCGTCACACAAGGACAGTACTACACACGTAAAGCAGGGAGCTAGGCAGTTTTATTTAACTATAGCACTGCCAATTTGCCACTCTATAATATTCTACCCTTGGCCTATTCAAATGGACTGTACCCTCCATTTACACATGTTGGTAAATTTGTGAAAATGTAGTTATGAGGTTTTATGGTGTGTTTTTTTTTTTCTTTTGTTTTTTTATAAATTCTTTATTTTTCTGTGCATAGAGTAACAGACAGGCATGTACTGCCACAACAACATGTACAAACTTTCAATAACAATTTAAGTTAAACAGTATCATGCCAGTTGATGGGACTGCACAATTTTTAAGTAAATATATATGTATTGCAATTCTACCATATGAGGAAATCAGGTAAAGATTTCACTACCATTTTGTGCTGAATGAGATATAACATGCAAGACTCTAGACTCCACTGCATGGTCAGCTTAGTTAGTGGCAGATAATTAGGTGCATTATATGATCAGGACACTAGCACAGTATTAGCAGGACACTGACTGCTAATAACGCGTATCCAGACAAGACATAAAACCGCCAAGAATAACGTTTGATGTAATGCGTTATGATTCACCCGAAAAGGATCAAAAGGTTTTCAAATACTATTTGGGCATACGAGCCCGAGACACAATTTATGGCTGTATTGATTTGTATAACCTACTACCATTCCTGAAAAAATAAAAACGATTTTCAAAAAAAAAAAAAAAAAGTATTAGCAGGAATATATTCAAATAGCTGCCTTGTCAGTTATTTAGGAGGGTGCTTGATCTATCACTGTGAAGTGAGCGTGTGTTATGTCAAGTGGGTGCTGCATGGTAGTGGGGATGCTAGAGTGCTATAGACTGGTCTAGATAAGATGGCTGTTATGCATACTCCAGTAGATGCTCGATAGGAGAGCATGCTTTATAGTGTTATGTTAGGCTGAGCTCAGTGGAGCATGTGTATTGCCCCTGACCAAGGGGGCGGCGGGGGGGGGGAGGAGAGGGATTCTCTTTAATCTTGGTGGGTACAGCGGACTGAAGTTGTACCTCTTAATAAGGGCCTGTCAGATGCGGGAGCAATCATTGAAATAAAAAAAAAAAACAAAAAAAACTGGTGCGAATAAACATAAGAAAGTAGGGAAAGGCATTAACAAGTAGTTATTAACAATTAGGGCCTCAGGCGTGGATTCTCTGCATTTCTCTCAGGTTCCCCGACGGGTATCAGAGGTGCTTCGTTGGGTGAAAAGGACAACTGTGGCCAGATCACAAGTTTGCGGATTAAACTACCACAACAAGAGGACATAGTCTTAAATTAGAGGGACAAAGGTTTAAAAATATCAGGAAGTATTACTTTACTGAGAGGGTAGTGGATGCATGGAATAGCCTTCCAGCTGAAGTGGTAGAGGTTAACACAGTGAGGGAGTTTAAGCATGCGTGGGATAGGCATAAGGCTATCCTAACTATAAGATAAGACTAGGGACTAATGAAAGTATATAGAAAATTGGGCAGACTAGATGGGCCGAATGGTTCTTATCTGCCGTCACATTCTATGTTTCTATGTGGCTGAGTTTCGTTAGCAGTCAGTGGGGGGAGTCCTAGAGCACTGAGAAATGCTGGAGCTTCTGTAGCTGATGAAAGGTTGTATAAAGTTCCTTGGTGGGTCACCAGGAGAGTTTTCGAGAGGCTCCATCTGTAGGCCAAACCTGCGTCTCTAAGCCGGCTTGTCACCATGCTGAGAGACTTGCGCCACTGGAGTGTGGCTCTGGTGAGATCATGAAAAAAGGAGAGATGGGAGTTCTCAAAGGGGTATGGTGGTTTACCCCTAACAGCAGTCATAAATTGTCCCTTATCCTGTAGTGTAGCACAGCAGACTAGGACGTCCCATGGTATAGCTGTCGTGGCCCGTTGGGGTTTCGGAAGGCGGTATGCCCCATCTAGTGTGAATTTCCTGGCAACATTTGGAGGCAATATCGCAGCCACTAGGCGTCTCACATAGTGGGGTATTTCCTCTGAGGGAACCGTGTCTGGTATGCGGCGGATCTTAATATGGTTCCTCCGGTATCTATCTTCCATGGAGGTTAGTTGTGTGTTGAGCGTCTGGTGGGAGGATTGGACTTGTGTAAGTCGATCCTGGGTAGCTGTAAGGTCCCTGCGCAGATCCATGATGTCCTCTTCATTAACGGAGGTACACAGCCTGTACCTCAGTTTTTACTACAGCTATGTCTGTTGTCAGCATTTGTTTAATTTCGTGGAGGAAGTTTTGAATGTCCAGCTTTGTGACATGGTCAGTCGCCTCCCGGGGTAGATCTAGAAAGGCCTGTGTTGCCGGTTCTGGGGGCTGTGAGGTAGGGGTGGACAGCTCTCCAGGGCTTGGTGAGGTGTCATGGTGGGCCTCTGTCGCCTTTTTAACTTGGGGCGGCCGTTGGAGCATGGATTCAATAACCCTGGTGTCTGCTGCGGCCCCAGCCATCTGTTTCTGGGTGCGACGTCCCATTGCCGGTTCGTTACCAACCTGCCCAGTCGGGTCGTGGAGCTCCGTAGCGGGAGATCTTACTCCGTGGGAGTTACTGAGTAGCGCGTTGAGCACGTCACCGGTAGGTGAGTAGTAGGCCGCAGGCCTGCGTTTGAGCGGGAGACCTTTGGTGTATGAAAAAAATGGCATGGGTCTGACACCGGTAGGACACCAGGAGGCAGATGCCGGGTGTTTAGTTGCTGAGAGGTGAGTCGATATCAGGTTTGTTGGGGAAATTAAAGGCAGTTGACCGGACCTTCGAGAAATGGCGTCCGCTCTCCCTTACGAGCAAGCTCCGCCCCCGGTGATTTTTTTTTTTTTTTAAATGTGTTTCCATTGCAAAAGGCTGCAAATGTATTTTTGACAAGTAGAATCCATAAAGGCTAAATTAGCTTACGGCCCAGCTTTGCAAAAGCAATGCCACGGCCACTCCTCGATGCTCCCATCCCCTCTGAGGCTGGATGCTTTATTTCTTCACACAACGAGGCACCGGCAAGAAAAGTACAATCGCAGGATAAATTATTCACTCGGGATTTGGCATGGCTAGGTTAAGTGACGGGTGGGAGAGGGGTACTCTGTGCTTCCATCTCTCGTCGGTAACCTGGACATATTTGTGCCCCTGGCCGCATGTGCCGCTTTATGGTAGCGCCGGCGCTAGGTACAGAAAGGTATATGTTACTAATGACTGGGCAGTAATAGTCCAATCGCTAGTTTTTCATTACAGCGAGGAGTCACGCCTCTACTCGCAGCATGGCACATGGGGGGATGGAGGCAGGTATAAAATCTCCCTAGTTCACAAATAACCAAATGGCGTTGAGAGAAATTGAGTCAGGGACCCATTTAGTGGTTTGTGATAACATTCATATTGCCCTTCTCCTGAAAATTAATGCACAGGTCTAATAATGAAAAAACTGCATTTCCAGATATTACCTCCTTCATCAAACGATTTCGTGCATTACGCTCTCTTTCCCACTCTGCTTCTCTCTTTGTCCATACCTGCTTGGCTTCCTCCCTGAAAAGTAGGTTAAAATATGAGATGAGGCCAACACAGACAGTAAGTGAATAAAGAAAAATAAAAAAAACAAATGTGAAAGGTTTACTTGTCAATACTCAATTATAAGAAGAGAAATATCTAAATTATATAATGGTCCGACAGGTACTTAAAATGTATAAAAGATTCAGAAGTGTAGCGCTTTAAAATACGAAAGGTTTACCTTCATAACAGTGGTTATGGTAGTTTAACAAAGTTTAAAAAAAAAAAAAAGGATTAACAGATCGACGGACACTCTCACCCGGAGTGCCGTCACACTGAAATTATCTTGAGCTGTAGCTTTACTTCCTTGTATTCCAAGCCTCGCTCTCGGGGTGTGATGTTGGCAAGCCTCTCAACTTGGCAGTTACTGTTCATTCCGAATTTGTATCTGTGAAGAATCACCCTCCATTCATTCGATTCATTCCCTCCCTATTTTATTTGTTACATGTATTGCCTTTATTGCTGGTTTATTCGGTATTTTCAATTCGTTATAATCCTTTGTTCGGTAAAATAGCTATTTTACTGAACGAGGACCACCCTGGGTACCAATTAGAATGTAGAATTCTGTGTTATTACCTGAAACCGCAGGCTAATTGAGTGCTCCCTGGGTGGCCGCCATTTCGGGACACGAACGCGTGGCAAGAACAATGGATGGCGGCCATCTTAAATTCCCGAACGGCCGGCCAGCAGGACTTAGGCGTCGAGCGCCTGGGACTATTTTCGGCATGGCTCTCCAGCTATTTTTTTTTTTTTTTATATATAAAATCTCCTCTCTCCAATTTTTTTCTACCTTTTTCACTCCTAAGAATATAAGGCCTTTTGGTGGTGGTGCTGTTTATTTATACAAATAATAATAATACAAATTCGGAATGAACAGTAACAGCCAAGCTGAGAGGCTTGCCAACATCACACCCCGAGAGCGAGGCTTGGAACACAAGGAAATAAAGCTACAGCTCAAGATAATTTCAATCTGACGGCACTCCAGGTGAGAGTGTCCATCGATCTGTTAATCCTTTTTTTTCAAATGTTTTTTATGTTTTTTGTTATTTTTTTTTGTCTTGTATCTTTATGGAGATAATTTACGTACTACCCAACATGATAGCTACGTAACAAACACAGATGTAGAAGATTCCCCAATTAGGAGGGTATATAAACAGAAGCTAGGAACCAGGAACTCTCACAACGCTGATCCGGCTGAGGAAGCCACATCTAGTGGTGAAACGCGTACCGGTATATATTTTTTTTATGGACATTGTACTTCATTTTATTTATGTACTTTTTAATACCAATTAATAAATGTATTTAAGCTTTTATTTGGTTCCTGGCTTTAAAAAGATTTAAAGGGGGAGTGTAGCCCTATACCTACACAATACGTTACTACAGAGCCACAGGGGCTCTGTGTTTGTAAGTACTCAATTGGCACTTATTTCCATATATTCCTTAACCATACTGTACTACCCTATTGTGTGTTTATATACTTTCCCTTAGGACGGAACACACATTCCATATAGGACTGGGTCACCTAAACGGACCCAGAAGCGATCCACACTGGAGCGAGATTTTATAGCTCCTTGTTTGTGAGTGTTTTATTTATGAACTCCATTTTATCATTGCTATCTTTTTATTTATAAACTGCATCATGTGGTATTATTTGTCTATTTTAGGTCTGAAAAATTTTAACTTTGTTAAACTACCATAACCACTGTTATCAATGTAAACCTTTCGTATTTTAAAGCGCTACACTTCTGAATCTTTTATATCTTGTTGGTGTTTGTGGAGAAGTCGCACTTCTTGGTGTCAGCTGCTATTATTACATATACTGTTTGGAGATTATACTCTTAAAAAAATAATAATTATTTTCATATTTTATATAAGCGCTAATACCCTTTGTCCTTTTTCTACTTAAAATGTATGGCCATGTTCTGACAATTTCCAAAGCTATAGGTAAGCTTCTACTTAATCCAGCTTTAGCATTCACTATTAGAATTCAAACAAATACAACATATAAAATATATATACTTTTCTAAAACTATTTAGCTTTAGTATATATGACCAAAACAAATATACTAATTTAAACTTCCCTTCTGACCATGATAAATATTGCAGTCAACTCCACCCAAATGGAAGCCTAGGACTTTGCCTTTGCTTAACCAGTTCTTCTAGCGTAGTGAAATTACAGGCAGCGGTTGAAAGCCTTACTGAAGTATTACAGTATCTGTCACCTCTTCATTACATATTTACAGCTAGTCAATGCTAAACGAAAGGTCATTTCCACTGTAGCAGCCTGTTTAGAAGAATACTCCAGACACACAGACACACACACACACACGGTGCAATGTTGAAGTTAGGAAACAGTTATAGTGGGTGGATTTTAGAAATTAAATCTCTTTTATAATGTGTTAGAGTGCTCAAACTATACTTCTAACTTTACAACGATAAAGAAGGAGAGCACTCGCATGACTTGCTTAATCAAACGATACACTGCTCACAAATGTTATTCAAATACACATTTTGCCTTTACATATATTTTAGAATACATTATTTTTAGGTTAGGGTTAGTGTTAATGGAAGTGTTAATGAATTGCTTAGTAGGAATTAGAGGAAATTGTTAGTGTAGCATAGTGTGCAAGAGTGGTATATGGGTTCCGGGGAGGTCTGTACTGTAAGAGCTGCACTGGGGAATACATGTCCTAGTACTGGCTGAGATTAGTAGGAGTTACAGGAACGCATGACAGCTATTTTAGCTGCCATCATTGAAATGTTAACAGGTACCACTCAGGAGTGTGACTTTCAGTAATCTAGGGACAGACAGAGACCATGCCCACAATTATAATCTTCTGTGTTTGAAAACATAATCTGCCTAATGAAATAATGTGTAAATATATACTACACAAACATATTGTCTAAATTGTACCTTATCTCTGCCATACAAGCTGTTCAGCCTTTTTCCATTTCTTCATGATAGCAAAATCCATGCTTACAAACACCTTCCCAAGCAGTCAGTCAGGAAGAACATATTAATTTTACGGATTATCTATGCACAACCAACAATGTGCTCCATTCTACTGAAGGTTGACTTTAGCTCACAGTCAAAAAACAGCAATTCTCTACATATACAGTACTTTACATTTAGTGTTGTAGTTTTCATGATCGATATATTTGTGCATTACATCCTATGATCCTAATCTGCAATAAACCTTTAGTCAGCTGCATTAACCTTGTGACTAACTTAATGGCCTATTACCAAGGACAAAATAAAGAAGATAAACACTAAGCATCCGTTATAGGATTATAAAGTCAATAGGAAGTTAACGATCCTTAGAATAATGAACTGGAGGTAATCCTGTAACAAAAAATAAATAAAATCAACAGAAGACACCATGCAGTAAAACATTTTGAAACTCCCACTTATGTAACCTCTTAATTAAACTAAAAGTATGTGTGACTGATGTTTGAAGCTGCATTATAACTCTGTTGTGAAGTCACCTGAAAAGCATATCTAACTCAGCTTCTCGCTGCCTTTCCAAATGTAGCTGCTCTTCAATAACGCGTTTCATCCAAGCTGCATCTGCCGCAGCCTGTTCCCGCCTAGCCGAACGCATACGCTCCTCCTCATCTTCTTTACTTATGAGTGCAGATAGTATCTTCATATCCATCTCCTAAAAGGGACAGCACAAATATGAAAAAGTTGAACCTTTACAAATTATTAATGCAAACCATTTAAAAAACATTGACGTGGTTGTGCTTTATGAAGCACAGACTTGTATTGATACACTGCGCTAGCCAAATTGCTGATGTGTATAAACAGTAAGTTATTTTAATTTAAAGCAAAACAGCCACATATCTGAAAGTGACTGCTCTCATTCCAGAAAATGCAAGTAGATGTTCACTAAAATCTGAATTTGGATTTATTAAAGGGACACTATACTCACGAAAACAAGTTTAGCTTAATAAAACCATTTTAGTGTATAGATCATGTCCCTGCAGTCTCCCTTCTCAATTCTCTGCCATTTAGGAGTTAAATCACTTTGTTTCTGTTTATGCAGCCCTAGCCACACCTCCCCTGGCTGTGACTGACACAACATGGGAAGAAAAAAAAAAAAAAGGTTTCATTTTCAATCAGATGGAACTTACTTTAAAAGTTTGTATCTTCTGCTCTGTAAATTACACTCTAATTACATACAGGAGGCCTCTATAGAGTCTAGCAAGCTATTAACAGAGCAGGATATAAGAAATTATACATTAAACAGAATTTGCAATAAAGGAAGTATAAATAGAGTACGCTTTACAGGAAGTGTTTAGGAAGGCTGTGTAAGTCACATGCAGGGAGGAGTGCCCTGGACTGCATAAACAACGTGATTTAACTCCTAAATGGCAGATAATTGAGCAATGAAACTGCAGGGGCATAATCTATACACATAAACGTCTAAATTAAGCTATAGTTATTTTGTGACTATAGTGTCCCTTTAAACTTAGGCATAAAAATACAAGCTGTGACTAAAACCGAGATGGAGAATTTTTTTTAAGTCAGCTATTTTAGCCCGAATTTCACTTTATTTTTATTTAATTTAGAGTTTAGCAAATAAACTTGTGCATGTGTAACTCACTGGGTGGAAGTAAGCTTGCTGGGTGTGCTGACAACAGACAAAGACATAGACGTTGCACAAAACATATTGCAACCAGGAAAAGAGAGATTCAGCTGGCTGACTGACAGTCCAGGGAGGTGGCCCTATAACTAGATAAACCTAGACAAGACTGCTAGTACAGGGTATTTGTATCATAACCACTAAAGTAACTTAACACTGTTTTGAGAGTGTTCTTTTAATCGTAAATAGCGAGACTACAAGGGGATCCTTTAATTTAAATGTGTAGACTTAGATCTAATCTAATATAAAAATTCAAGAAATAAATGTATATACAGATACAGAAACAAAATAACCGATTAATGAATATCATATGTTTGTTTTAATGGTTTAAAAAGTGCACAGTGGTTTGCAAATAAAATGCCATCAATATGAAGGCTTACATTACTTGACTGCTGAAAAGCCTCTGAAATCTTTAGATTTTTTTTTTTAAATATATCTCATTTATACACTGATCAAATATCCCCTAAAAAAAAAGAGATACTATAGGCACCAAAACAACTCTAGCTTCATTAAGCAATTTGAGTGCGTATAGACCATCAGTCTTTCACAGCTCAATTTCTCAATTTTCTGGCATTTAAGAGAATTTTTAAAAAATTTTAAAGCAACCCTAGATTTAAAACCACTTTTAAAGAGCTGCATGCCACGCGGACTTTCAAGACTGCAAGCAGCTCATCTGTCAGTCTGGGGCCACTAAAAATAACCCCATCTGATCTGGGGATTTAAAACCCTTATTTAAATACCTGCATTCAGCGCTCACTTTGAGCGCTGCAAAGAGAGCATCTGTCAATCTGAGACCACCAATTCTGGCCCCAGTTGACAGAGGGAGTCCCAGGTATCTAATGATACCTGGGATTCCCCTGTTACTAGCAGAAAAGCAGTCCTTGCTGATACAATACCACATGATGAAATTATTCCATTCCCAAAAAATGGGTCCTCAAAGGGACACTGTAGTCACTAAAACTATTTTATCTCTTTGAATTGTTTATAGTGCCTGGGGTCCCCTGGCACCATCCAACCATGTTCGAGCAGTTTAACACTAAATAAGGGTCCCTGGCCACTCAAGAGTCCGGCCCCTTCTGGAGATGTGACTAAGGCAGAGAATACACAGTTCCTTGTTGTTATATCCCATTCATGCCGTCAATTGGAGCTCTGATAGGCTAAAACAGTCAGATGATACTCACAGCCAATCACAGCTGCCCATTGCTGCTCAGGTTAATACTTCCTCATTAGCCAAAGCAGCACAGAGGGATGGACTGCTGGCGACTCATTTTTAGCAATAAAACATAAAAACATTAAAAACTGTTTAATACTGAAATAACTGATGCACCAGGGAACTCCATACACTATAACACTATAACCAGTTTAATGTCCCTTTAAGGGAAGGGCAACCATGACAGAAAAATTCAGTCATTGGTCTTGATGGCGATGTATAGGAGTTTCATCATATTATTCAAGGTCCAATCATCTATTTCTTGCGGTTTATTTCAGTACATTTGGCATTTAAACAGTCACCATAAGTAGTTTAAGTTGGTTTAATCACTTGATTGAAATTAAGTAGACAAATTGCACGGAATCAAAGTGGATGCCTACAGACATCAACCTGCTCCTTTGACATTGCCTATACAGTCAAATGTTATTACAATATTATACCAAAATATCCTATTAGTTTAAATCAGTTCCATGTGACATGAGCCATTTTACCACACTCTTATAGAGTTACACTGAGAAAGTAGCCACTTTATAATTAAACTGTTTTACGTAGGGATTGACCGATATTGATTTTTTTTAGAGCAGATACCGATAATCTGCGAACTTTCAGGCCGACAGCAGATAATTTACCGATATTCTGCACATTTACCATTTTGAAAAAAATAAACTATTTCTAAAGGTAAATGCACAAAATATACATGCCACATGTAGTGGATGTAGACTGTTTAGACAGGGGAGCTGTGTGTGTTTGTGTAGTGGATGCAGTGTTTATTTGTGTAGTGTGTATATAATGAAGAGTGTGTATAGTGAATGTAGTGAGTGTTTGTGTAGTGTGTATATATAGTGAATGCAGAGCGTTTTTGTGTGTGTGTGTGTGTGTGTATAAAGTGAATGCAGTGTGTGTAGTGTGTATAGTGAATGCGGTGTGTGTATAGTGAGTGCAGAGTGTGTGTTTGTGTAGTGTGTGTATAGTGAATGGACTGTATTTGTGTAGTGTGTGTGTATATAATGAATGCAGAGTGTGTAGTGCAGGGGTAGGTAACCTTCAGCACTACAGATGTTGTGGACTACACCCCCCATAATCCTCTTACACCCATAATGCTGGCAAAGCATCATGGGAGGTGTAGCCCAAAACATCTGCAGTGCCGAAGGTTGCCTATGCCTGTTGTGTAGTGTGTGTATATAATGAATGCAGAGTGTGTTTTTGTAGCATGTGTGTGTTACTGTAGGTATGTAATTTGTGTAAAATGGGGGAGGGAGGGAAGGCATTTTTAATAGAATTTTTTTTTATATTAAATTATAATTTTTTTATTCCCCCCTTCCTGCTTGTTATCTGGCCAGGGAGGGGGCTATGGCTTTCCCTGGTGGTCCGGTGGCATGGATTGTGCAGTTGGGGCCCAGTAAGCGCTTACTTACCTTCCCAGCAGCTCACCAGTGTAAATCTCTCGGCCAGTGTGCCGCGCGGAGCGTTGCCATGGTAAGATTTACACTTGGGAGCTGAAGGGAGCTGCTGGGAAGGTAAGTAAGCGCTTGCTGGGCCCCCCAAGAAGGCCGGGCTTGTCATGAGCCCGGCGGTCCTGGTATGTATTATCAGCAATATCAGTATCTTTATTGGCCGATATCAATATTGCTGAAAATACCGAATATCGTCCGATAATATCGGCCAGACCGATAATCGGTCAATTCCTAGTTTTACCAAAAAGCCCCATTTCATTCAGGTCTTTCTATGCCAGATGTGTGCAACTAACATTGGTTTGCGATGTGCTGGTCTTATATCTGTTACTTGAGGGGTTGAGCGTTAATAGGAAATGAATACATCACTTACCAGCTCTTCTTGCACCATCCGAGCTCGTCTCTTCATCTGGGCGTTATACTGACGACTTAAAAAGTGACTAGGGAAGAATAGAGACGGCTATGAGTCAGTCTATCAAAACGCAAACTTATTAAACATTTAGATTGTATCTGAAAGCACAAAACTCTGTTTCCTTTGCTACTTTATAACCAGATCATCCACTAATCAGAAATTAGCTGTAATCTTATAACTACCCGAGCTCTGTTTTTTTCCTCTGCTCCTCCATCTTTCTTCTCTCCTCCTGAAGATCTTCTACTTCCCATTGCTGTTTCATCAAAATTTCCTGCTCCTTCTTCAGCTTTTTTGCCTAAAAAAAAACAAAAAACAAAAACAAAAGTATAGACACTAGTCAATGTAATACTTTTTTTTTTCCATACATACACACATATGCATAGACGCACAAAATTAAGCCTAATCCTTAATACCAGTGAAGGATAACATAAATTGCTTAATTGCTTCAGTGCTTAAAAAGAGTTCAGAGTATCCGTAATGTATGCATATTGTGTTTACATACAATAGCAGAATTATTCTGTTTTTATTACTTCATTAAAAGGACCATAAACCAGGGGTAAATCTGAACAGTGTACACAAACATGCATCCAACACATACTCTTGTGTGATGTACTGCATCAATTAATACAACTTTAGGAGCCAAATAAATAGATGCCTGTTATGCTGGAGTGTCAATGTAACAGAAAAGGAATGGTCTGTCTATCTATGGAAATGCCATATATAGCAAATTTATATTTACATTCATACAGCTGTAAACTGACTGGTACATCTTTATTAAATAATCCACCTTAACTCAGAACAACCGTTTTGTCTTTGTTTTTCCATGAGCTAATAACTATTTGCTCATATACTAGGGTGTACACTTTTATGCAGAGAACAGTACAAAGAGAATATCCCCAAATCTAGTCAAATTACTGACTTATTAGAAAACAGAACACAGGTGGTAAAAAGGTGGACCCCCAGCTCTTGCAGAACTACAACTTCCATAATGCTTTGCCAGCAATAAGGCTGACATAGCTTCATTGAAGCTGTAGTTCTACAACAGAGGAAATCCAATTCCTACCCACTCCTGATCTATTAAAGAGTTATAAGACTTGATATTTACAATACAGGACTACAAACGTTTCATACATAATAACTACATAACATGCACAATTCTATATAATGAGTTAGAATATGAAGCAATTTTAATAGTCTATATCTGAAATGACGTTCTCCCACCTCTGTGTCGCGCAGCTGAAGTTCCTCCATTTGTTGCCGCAGGAATTCAACACGTTCTTTCTCAGTTTGTCGGCGTCTCTCTTCCTCAATTTTCATTCTTTCTAGAGCCTCTCGTCTAGCAACCTCATATTGATTTTCAAACATCTTCTTCTCTTCTTCCTCTTTGGTTTTTTCCTATGAAATGATATTAATCATAACAGAAGTTTAGATTTAAAAAAGAAAAAAAATCTGCACATCTTCGCGGTATCTATGATGAACCTATAAAGGTGCTCAGGCATCTATTGGTAAGTTTTGGTAGAAGACTTATTTATTTTGGGAACCCTGTTTTATTCTAAAAGCACAGTCTCAAGTATTGAAATATTATTTTAAAGATGGGTTAACGACCAAAAGTGTGGATTTAATATATTTCTTTCCTGCTGCTTATTCCCCTTCTTGTAACATCTGTTATGCAGCCTTGCTACTGTATATAAGGGATCCACACCCTGTGCAAGCAGCTTCATTACAAGGCAAGGGAACTGTAGATGTTGCTTTGCTCTGACTTAATTGTTCTTTGGCTCCGTTACCTTGTTTAATTAACCAATACTGACTTTTCTGGAACCTCAACCACTGCTAGTATTTATATGAATCTCTCCATGTGTCATTGTACCTTTTCATTTCTTCAAATTAATTATGTTAAAACCAGCCACTCTATGAAGAGGCAATTCATTTCTAACTGATTACAGCTTTTGATTACTGCAGAGAGCACCTTGCACTCACTGATAGCGGTTTACAACTGCAGTACACTGTATAAATCCCCCGTAGAAATAAGTCAGCCCTTGAAGAGCTGTCCACAAGGCATCCAGAATGCGCAATTCTGTCCAAGTTTTGTATGCAATGTGAGCATTCTGCAAATTAGTTTACATGTCTTGAGTAGCACTGCTCTTGGGGGACAAATTACTCATCCCATAAACTCTTGTTGGACAGTTTTTATGTGAAAAGTGTCACTTCCTGGTTAGCGTGGGGTAATCCTATAGCTGCAGGAAGATTCGCTTAACACTGCTTCGAAAGGAAACTTTTAAATGAAATGTATTTTTTTTCTAAATATAGATTTCCATGCAAGTATTGTTTGCAATATATGTGTATTTTTGTTTATCTACCGTGCATCAGATGTGTATATAACCATACTGCCATAATGGGACACAGTTCTGTTTACCTGATTTTTCTCAGTAAGCTGGTCTCCCCAAGCATTAACCACGTATTTTTTATGCAAGTTGCTCTCAATCTGAGAAGAAAAATGATAATTTTAGAGCATTGTAGAGTAAAGCAGTAGAAATGCAGTCAACACAACATTGAAAATAAAATACATATTTAAAAAATAATAAAAGTTAATATCCTGATTTGCAGCAATGATTACTGTGCTCGTGAATGCTAAATCTATTCACAACAATAAATCAATCTTCAATTACAAAACAGCTTGGAGAAAGAACCATCACTGGTACAGTTAAATAGCCTTTTGGTGAAATTAAATGTCAGAAATTATTTCAAGCGGCTGATTGATAATAGTCAAAGCAGTTAAAATATTAAATATCTGAATTCATGTACACATATGTTGTAAGGTCAACATATATAATATACAGCATGTCCTACTTTATGTATTACATTTGCTAGACTCACTCAACTCACTCTGTACCCGAACTGGGAACATTGAGTGTGGGGTGAGAGAACACAATATTTGCGTTACCATTAGATGTCGAAGGTCGCTATGTTAAAAACTCATAGATATGCTGTACAGGTAAATAAATTTTATATATTTTTTTTTCACAAACAAAAATGTTTTAAATACACTGTCCTAAGCATACCCCCAACAAAGAAAAATACTTGTTCCAATATAATACGTTCAGTTTAATCACAGCCAGATATACTTATATGAAACCCTGAAAAAGAAGGATAACATCACCACTTCAAATTCATGGCATACTGGAAAGGTTTACCTCACGTAGCTTCACATTGTTCTGCTTCCACCGCTCATACAACAACTCTTGTGACACCTTATGACAAACAAGAGAAACATTCATATTACAACCCAACACATTACTACAAGTTTTATGTTCAGAAAATTTTGCGTGTTTGCAGTAACCTTTTTCCTTCTCTCTTCTCTAGCAGATTTCAGCTCCTCTGTCCTTTCCCTCATTTCACGAAGAGCAGGCTCTTTATTTTGATGAAGCTCCCGCAGCTCTTCCTCCAGCAAATCTCGCTCCTCTTGTAAAAGTTTACGCAGTTGCTCTCTCCGTCGTTCCAAGCTTTTTTTCTTCTCTTCTTTCTGCATTTCTCTGTGATATGCATTCATACTATAGAAAGAAAATATAAATAATTAACTAAGAGCACAGAAAATAAATATTTGCTCTTGTCAGGTCTAGGAAGAGCAACTGATCAAAAGAACAAAAAGAAAACATCCAGCAGGCTTATCATTAAACAGAGAGGCATCAGAATATTCAAGCACTGACTGGGACACATTACAGAACAAATGTAAGCACAGGCATAAGAAATCTGTCACCTGTGTAATGCAACCAAAGCTACTCAGGCAACATCACATGCCTCCAAATGAGCGTATGTCACCCCTGCATACACAAGAACATGTGTAATGTATATGGCAGACATATGTACACAAACAGTAGAAAGAAAAAAAAAAAACAGACATTTACAGAAATGACCAGTTGAAAGAATATGTATATTACCTTTGCTGGTAAGACTGTCTGGAGCTCCATTGTGCTTGTTTACTGCTACACACATCGGACTGTTTAAAGTATCTGTTGGTTAAATCCCACTCCTGGCGAATGCGAGCCTCTTGTTCCCTGTGTCGTACAATCTGCTGCTCCAAAACCCTACTCCGACTATGCCAGCGAGATGGAAGTGTGGGCAATGCCATCTGATTTGGATACCCAAAAAAAAGTTGTATAGACTTTAACCAGCAAAATCATGTTCATATACTTTACAAGGCGTTCCACTTTTAAAAAGAAGACAGTGGAGTAATAATCAGATTCTAGGATGGAGTGTAGCACAAGTTTATTAAAATTTGAATTGTAGAAAAATTGTAGAGTGCATGTTTTGACCCTTAATACCATAAATGTAAAAAATTATTCAACAAACCTTGCATTTTCCTAGACAAATGCATGATACATTCATCCCAATAGTGCATGAAAATAAACATGACATGCAATCACAATTGTATGTTCCCAAAAAACAACAACTTTTAAATTTATCATGAAGAAGCTTTAATTGCCAATATTGTTCTCCATACAAGACAACAGGTTTCTCTGTCATTGTCTATATATCAATGTGACTAATGAATTTGGTACCGTTTCTTGCTAGTGTGTACATTTCCATTTTCTGAATAAATATATTGATACTTTTGCATCCTCCTCAAAGCAGAGGGCTGGTAAAATAAATACTCAAATTAAAAGCTGAAAATGGGTATCTATGTCTGCTTGTACTTTACAGATGGGAGGACATACAATCTATTTGAGTGCTTTACAAAGTAACTATGGATAATGAAAGCTGCAAATTATACTGAGATAAGAGGCTTCTAATTAGAATACACACACAGAGGAGGACCTTTTATTTGTATAATTACAGCTATAATGTGCTCTTAATGGTTTACTTAGTTTTGCATGTACTAATACATGGAGATGTACATTTATAATATCAACAACAACAACAACAAAAACAGCGATGAGACACAAACATGCCTGTACATCGCAGACAGCCTGTGTTAGTGCTATAACCATTCATGTTAAACAGTCACCGTGTGAGAGGCAATGTTTATATAACGCACAGAGCAATGGGAGTGCAGATATTATGAGCCATTATGGGCCGGTCCCGGGCTCTGCCTTGATGTAGGTAATGCAGGCTGTAATTAGGGATATTAGGGCTATTAGGGGTGAAGCACTATAATAAAATCCTCTATAATCACTCTGTGAGGGAGCGTTAGTCATGGCGGAGGCTGGGCAGGCTCTCAGTCACACACTATAGCCGGTACCTGGGCAGATCCTGCGCTCCGCTCTCCGGTAACAGCTTGGGAATCCCGTTAGAGACCACAAACAACCCACTTCCTTTTCCGGTGTCGATGGGTAACCATAGCAACGGCATGGCGCTTCCTCCCCGGCTGGAGCCGCGCTCACAATGTCAGTTAGGGGAGGAGTGAACGGCTCTCATAGCACTGCATGGTCCTTACAGGACACTGTACACACTGCCCCCAGATATGGCCCAAACCACTCACTGCATGGTCCTTACAGGACACTGTACACACTGCCCCCAGGCTATCATGGTCCTTACAGGACACCACTCACTGCATGGTCCTTACAGGACACTGTACACGCTGCCCCCAGATATGGCCCAAACCACTCACTGCATGGTCCTTACAGGACACTATACAGTTCACACTGTGCCCCAGGATATGGCACAAACCACTTAAGTGACATTTTCATACTCCATAGGCAGCAACTTGTACATTCTCCCATCACCTTATCCAGCCACTGGCTGGTTGGCTATAAAAACAGCCCAGTTCCAGAAGTGCCCTATACTTCCTAGTTTGGGATTAGCTTGATTCATTTTATTAGGCACATCAGAATTGTTTGTGACTTGCATTTCCTGCATCAATGGAAATGTACTTCACAGATTTTTGCAATGACAAAGTAAGTCATTGCTGACCTATATTAGCAATGTTATTTATTAAACTGTAAGTAGAGCAGGGAATCGTAAATTTAAGTCAAAATAGTTGGGGAAATTCTCTAGTACAGTTATTTGACTCATGCTGTACTTATAATAAAATTCAGGCTATTTAAACTCATAAATAAGTGCAAGACCAGTGCTCAGTATATGGGCAGCATACCCACGCATGCAGAATAAGATGACACTCTTCTGTATGGGCAAGAAAAATCGTCTGTGACAATAACTGCGCCACGGACACACCATGCCTATCCTCCCTTTCATGCCTGCTTAAATTTAATTTATTTTTTAAATTATGGCTAGGGCATAAGGGTTCTTTAAAAAGGAAACATTTGATAACAAATTAAAAATGTGTCCAGAAACTGCAAAGGGGGTATTTACTAAAAACAAACAGGTTATTCATGAAACCTCAAATTGTAGAAAATTGAAAACTTCTGGCAAAATTAGCCGTTATTTAAAATTCTCTTAGTTTTGTGATTCAGATTTAATTTGCTAAAATTGGACGTTTAATGAAAAATCTTGAAACATTTAGTGAATTGAAAACCAAATTGGAAAATGGATGAATTGTATATTTTTTACAGCTCAGCTATTTTGTTATTAATTGTTTACCATATCATTTACCAAATGTCATAACAAATAAAGTCACACACCAAGCACTAAATGGAGTCTGAAGCGAGTGGGGCCTGATAGCTGACCAAGATGGTCTCATGTAACTAGAGCTCCTGGGGGAAACGCATTTGCTAAGCCTAATCCTGGACAGTAATATTATAGGTTTAGCTCAAACCTGCTTATTACGATTAAAGGGACACCCCATCATGTATTGGACTAGCTTTTGCTCAATTCTGGCTGCACTTTGCACCCTGTAAGCATACTCAAGGCAAGGGAGTTTACACTCACCCACTCTTGAGCCCTGTCCTTCTCCTGACCCGGACCGGTGGGGGTTATCCCAGTCCCCACTGGCTCTTACTCATGGCCAACTGTGAGAGCCATTGTCACCGGCAGCGTTCTTAGAGGAAGAGGCCTACACTCTACAACCCATGACGCAGCTCTTAAGCTTCATGAGCCAATTCTGATGGCCTTCGACAGGGAGTGTGCGCAGTTCTGGGTGAAGCTGAGTGCCTGTATACTCACCACTTCTTCTCCCGATCACAACATAGTCTCCCGGATCTGGCCAGTGGACCGGTGCCACGTGGCGGAGACTCCCCCAAACGGCTGTCAACGGGATTCGCAACTCAAGCAATCGCCACTGCTGAGACAAGCACGCAGAATCTGTGGGGCGAAGAGAGGGAGGAGAAGGTCACGGCAAAACCAAGCTCACAATATGCAGCCTGACTGACACGCTAGAGGAAGCCAGCCCTGCAAACACACACCTCAAGGTCAGAGGATTCCTGCTCAGCGAGGCTCACCACGTCCATTGAAGTGGCCCTGGAGTCCTGTACGTGTTATTGATCGCTGCTGGATACATGAAGGCACAACGCAAGGATGCATCTGCACTTGGAGATGGGAGGACCACCCTCCATGGCAAGGTGGACGTTTGAATTCTTATAGACATAATGTCACATGTTCATCCTCACCTGGTGGTGCCCATAATGGCAACTACCTTCCTGGCATTGACAGATATGCTAATCAGCAGCCATGTGCCGGTGTATCTGACTCCTGCGGCATGTTAAAAGACGCCGGCCGCTGCCAATCCATACCAATTTATAACCCCACTATATATAGAGTGAGGTAGAGGCAAAAAATGCCTACAAAATGCAAAATATAAACAAAGAAAAAATTAGACCTGTGCTGCAGATACTCCACACTGAAGTCCCAACAGTGTATATACAACCAAAAAACAAACACGAGTCCTGCGCATCCAGTATAGGTGTGCACACCTAGGTGCTACCACAGTTTATTTGAGGACAAAGTTAATGCAGCAAACGTTTCGAGCAGTAGCCCTTTCTCAATACTAATGGACATTAGCATTGAGAAAGGGCTGCTGCTCAAAATGTTTGCTGCATTAACTTTGTCCTCAAACAAATTGTGGTAGCACCTGGGTGTGCACACCAATTTATAACCCCAAGTCCACCCACGGTATTGACGATGTCAATGTGCGTGTGACGTCACGCAAAGGACACTCACGCACGTTCTTGGGTCAAAGATCGTGTGCTTCATATCGGATCTAAAGGAGACTTATTTAAACTCCTTTTTTGCTTTTCCTCATTGCCCTGTCGTGGTTCCCCTTAGTAAGTTATACGAGAGTGTGTTCCTGAGCGTTTATTATGCTGAGCGTTTATTGACTTTGGCTTCGTTTTGACTTTCCTGTATTCTGGAATCCTAGACTTTTGGCTTTCCCTCATCGTTGTGTCTCATTTTGTGTCCCTGATTGTCCTTTAATCCCACCATTTCTATTTCTATTGACTAAGTTACCGACATGGTTATTCAATAAAGTGAGAATTCAAGTGAATTCCAGATTTAAGGACAGAGTAGCTAAACTAAAAGCATAGCTCTCTTACACTGTTATTCACTAACGTGATAATTCAAAGTACTGTACGTACATTTTGAAATTAAGGCCAAAGTAGCTGAACTGGAAGAAAAGCAGAGTTAGAAAATGTTTTCCAGTTCTGCTATTTCGACCATAAACTTGAATTTCACTTTGAATTCTCACTTTAGGGAATATTCCTGTTCGATAATACATAAAGTTCGGTTATTTTCACCTTGACATTCACTTGGAATGCTCAGGTCGGTGTTAGTCTGGTGACTAAGCCCTGTCTATCCAGTGATTGGCCTCAATTCTGATTTGATACATTGAAATTCTAGTCCAGTGTGTTGGGTGGAAATACAAGTCCCTGTGATGAGCCCAGCGATGTGTCCTGATCACAGACAGCAGGGACTTAATGTAAAAGTCCCTCTAAATATTTAATTCTCACTTTAAACCCGACCATCTCACTCTGTGTATTATTAATAAGCTGTAACACGGCACCTTAACCTTTCCTACCCCACCTCCACTCCAGACACAGTGTAGCTAAAGGTACACATTAACACCTTGGCACTGATAGCGTTAATGCTCTCCGGAGACGTTGATTGGACGATTCTCACTCTCCATTTTTATGATTGGTAAAGCGGTCCCATTATTCCCACGCTGTTTCCAAGAGTGATGACGTTTCAGTGTGGTCTTTTTTTTTTTTCTATTGGATGTTTCTCTAGCAGCTGATTGGTCCAGACGCGTTTCACTCACCCCGCCTCTTGCTGTCACTTTAATGGTGCAAAGGGCGAGTGAGAAAGAGTTCCGCTTTGGTTGGCGTCCGGACAGTAGGGTGACACAAACCGGGTTTACTGGAGTCTGACCATCATGGCTCTGCTTGTACAGAACGAGTTTAAACCCTTACCGGCTGATAAACAGGTAGACACAGTCAGCTTCCTGGATTCTGTGTCTCACTTGCCATCTTTCTTTGGTAAGTACTTTAGGAAACTAGAATGAACCCATACTTATTAAAGTGAGTGTTCTTTGTATCTATGATAATAATTGGTCCTTTACCCTGATCACTTAGCATACATGTAGTTATAGAATTCAGGAGACCCTCATTTATATAGTTTTCTAAAACATATTTGTGTTATGGGAAGATATATGTAGTAAAGCTCTCTAAAAGTGGAGTAGATACCATGACAATCTATACAATGTCCTGCTAATTGCTCAGTTTTAAGAACTTTGCCCCAGAATTGCTATTAATGCTATCTCAGATAATCGTTAACTTTTTTTTTTTTTTTTGAAGCTCTTTTGTATCAATATATAATGTTCTCCGATCTTGCACTAAATCTTATCATAAAAATAGTAATTTATTAGTTTTTCATGTATTTCTGTCCCAGATACTACATGCATTTGTTTGGCTTTTTTTTTTTTTTTTTTTAAATAAATTTTACACACTCTAATTTATATCTGTACATCCCCTTGCTTCCCTTCAAGTTATATTGTAATGTACAGTCAACTTTTGATTTTATACCTTACATGTATGATTTTCGAAACCATTTAATTACCAGAGATTAATTTCCCACAAATGTCATCGTAAGCCTTTTTTATGTGGTGCTAAAGTGAGATCTGCTATAGCTACAGTTTGTGTGGAATATTTTATCCCAAGGGTAGAAACAATGGATTCCTAGTAGTTTCCAATGAATGGCCCCACTGTGTTGCACAAAACAGAGTACATGCTAGCAATGCTTACTGTGTGTCTGACACTCCATGTCATGGCCATTACTTGTTAATTTTATCCAGTACTGTCCTCCTTTCTAATTATGAGATTGCATCTGCATTTTGCTAGACTATAGTTGGCTAACTGAACAAGGGGTTAGAATTAACAGTTTTTAATTAACAGTTTTTATGTGACAAACACTCCTTCCCTTGTACGTTTGCCACGGCTTTCTGCCCACCGACTATGGTCCAGGTCTGGGATACCTTTTGGTAGCTACCCTGCCCAGCTGTCATTAATAGCTTTCCCTGGGGGCCCCTGGTTTGGCACTTTCCCTTCATGCAAGTGGAACCAAACGCCAGCTTTTTGGTGGCCATTCGCATGAACAAAGCAATGAATAGTTCTCAAGCTGTGACCGCTATGGAACTATT